TACCCAAAAAAGGATTGAAAAACTTTTCCAAACTTTAGTCTCTCCTCTCTTCTAGGATGCTGGCCAAACTCCACAAAATAAAACCGAAGAAAATGATGATAATTATGCAACATTCAGAACAAAGAACATAAGAGTATATTTTTTAAATGATTCATTGTGCACTTATGCCTATAATGGGATTTTAACGCACTGTAAAAATAAGTGTGCCGGCGAACTTGGCTTCTCACGCAAATGAAACGCAAGGAGATGAATAACTGGAGATGGGATGGGTTTTTTGTCTTTTCTTTTTCCCCCTAGAAGAAGTGTGAAGAAAAACCACAGCATACAAAGAAATTTGCACAAACACAGCAACTCCGCTTCCACACCTAGGTGGGTCCCAGGACCTCGACCAGCTGAGAGCCACAGATGTAAATGACCGAGAAACAGGGCCTTAAATTAAGTCACCATCTCGTGTGATGATTCCCTTTCCATTTTGCCCGCCAAGTCTTAGCAACTTCTAGAGAGCTGAGGAGGCAGGAAGGGAAGAGAAATTCTAGCCGCACAAGATTCTTAGGGAATCTTGGGGAATTATATTTCCGCTACATGTCTATAAAAGATTTGTCGGATACATAACTCTCATGACTGTAGACGCAACATGCTCCTATCTCATTTGTATACCCACACACATACTTGTTTCTCTTTTGTCTCACTGAGCCTGACATTTGGCCAGCAGGTTTTTTTCTCCCCCTTATTTGAAACCTCAAGCACTGAAAAAAATTTGGATCTGATTATTTCCGGATCACAGGACCAGCACTTTACAATGGATGAAATGCAAGCAAATTGCCCACCAGAGCCGGAGGGGGGAAATGCTTTAAAAATAACTCATACCTTTCTATTACGGATGCGCTGCCTCTCCAAACCTCCCCGGCACATCTCACTGGCTACTTGCTCAGATGGAGAAACTCAACCAGGTAATAACACCGAAACCATGATGTCCCACCACCRCCAGCCCTGATATCCATACACACAACCTACAACTGCTTTCCTCCTCCTCTTTTTCTTTCTTTTCAGAGACTTATTTATTTATTCATATATTTATTTATTTGGTACAAGGTTCAGTACTTCCTGACATTTACAGCCATGTCCCGGCAGCTATTTTTACTAATGGTAGAGTTCATGTTCATAGTGACCATCGATCTCCCTCTTTGCTAGGATGTATGCAGTCTCGGGATGTGGTGGAAAGGGTCCAGGGAGACGCTATGAATTAAATGGTGACCTCATTATCTGGGTTTTGGACACATGGAATCATCTGGTAAACTACAAAGTTTTCTAGACATGGCATAGAGACCGGTTACCAATTTCCAAAACTTCAAGACAGAAGAAATATCAAAAGCAAGACGTTTTAAATTCTCTGGGAATATTCACGAGGCCTTGGTTACATACATCAGCTCTGGGCCACCAGCACACGTGTATAGAAGGTACAAGCTTTGGAACCAGAATCAAATATCTGGAGCTGGAAGCCTCCCAAACTGCCACTTAACTGTCTGTAGATAGATATGATCAAATCCCTGAACCTATATGTGTTCATCTCTAAAATGGGAGTCATGTCAACAAGAGCCAGTACCTGCCCTGCACTTTATAGACGCAAAGCACTTCTTCATCTGTTCCTTTGGAAGAGCCTTCAGGGTAGGCAGAGACTGATGAGAGAAGGTGTGGAAAAACTCCAACAACTGTAAAGTGCTGTGCACAGCGAATAAGCATCATCGGCCATCGCCACAAAGCTGTCCACCCGCAGAAAGCCCAGATGTTTACCTTCTTTCCTCGGCAGAACTTATAAAAGCAGTGTCTGGTGTTTAATAATAAGAAAGAAAAACGCAGCATCTGGTAATTTGTCCTTCCCAGCTGTTTGRAATCTGGATAAGCGGGACTCTGCCATAAACAGATCGTGATTCTTATTGTAAATGATGACAATGTTAGTCCATGACGTCGTGCCATGCCCAGTGCCTCCCGGTTCAGATCTGGAAACACACAGGACCCAACAAGTATGGATATTCTGCTGAATTCCAGAACTCACTCCCTTCCTCTGCTTAGGGTCTGTCCGGAGCAGAAGACAGATCATCTGAAACCTGACTCCCGACCACGCAGTATGGTCTTCTCTCCAGTCACTGGGCAGCAATGGTCACAGAAGACCTGAAGCGTGGCACCTTTCAGCTTCCCCTGACTCGTACCCCACAGTTGGCACCTACCAGAGTTGGCACTTTTCACACTCAACATTTTAAAAATAAAATCTTTCTCCCTCCTGGCTATACCCCCTTTACCTAAACTATCAACCGTCTCTAGCATGGTACCCTGCACAAATTAATAAAAGTGACCTCTCCTACAGTTTTAGTATAAAAAGCATTCTTATAACCCTGGCTTTATTTATTCCATGAGGTAGGCATTATTACGAGAAACCAGAAGTTGAGAACATTAAACTCCTTACACTAGTAATTTTTAAAATAACCAGGCATCAAAGATAGTTCTTTCACATTCAAGTCTCGGGGAAAATTCACCATAAATGAGGACACCTGAGGCTCAGAGGAGTGAAATAACATCCTCCAGCATCCCACAGAGCCTAGGTGGCAGGGTCTTATCATTTCCAGCACAGCTAATAAATATGTTTAAATTGGTATTTCTGTCTGTCTGTTTCCAATAAGCCTGAGAGCTTGGAGCTAGGCACCTCACTTTCAAAGGGTTACGTGGCCTGCTGACTATTTTGGTGGGGGTGAGCACTGCAAAAAGGTGCCTCTTCCTTAATGGCATGTCTAGAGGGCTGCTGAAGATTCCCTGGGGGGTGCTGGTTTCCTTTCAGGCCACTTGGCTTGACTGTGAGGAATATGCCTACAGCAACACAGAGGCCAGGTCGGAAACCTCTCCTAGTCCCTGTCCTGAGATTTCCCTTCTCCCCAGGCGGGATGATGGCAGAGCCCCTGACCTGCTGGGTGGCCTTCTACATAGCAGACACTTTCCCCACCTGCAGACCTCATCTTTCAAAGGTGTGTTAAATCCCATCCCATCAGCCTCACCAGGAGGCTGTGAAGAAAAGCAGTTTAAAATCCTTTTGGAGAAAAAGTAACCACAGAGTCCAATTTAAGGTACAAAGCAAGGGGCTCTTTCTCCTATCCCTTTATCCTCCTCTGTCCTTTCCAAATGCAATGTGCCTTATTTTAGACATAAGCAAAAATAATTGGGGTTTGGAGGACTACAAGTAGAAAGATCGTAGGCAAAGCATCAGATGAAAGGTCTCTAACCACAGCGTGGAATAAAGRTTATGTCTGGGACAGGCATTCACTAACACTTCGGAGAACTGAATCTGCAGATGACAGTCATGATTTTTTTAAACACAAGTCGTTACAGGAGGGTATRTGTGGAAGGAAGGACCGTGTGTGGAGCAGGGCAAGCCAGGGACTCATGGCGGCAAACATAACTCGTCTTGCTATGCAGCACTTCTCTCTCCCTGGTAAAAGAGACTTCGTATGTGTATTCTAGCAGTAATACTCTGTATGTATTCTTTACCATATCTATCCTAAACTATGATCTTTATCTCTTGGAGAAGAGACTGATGCTTAAGACAAGAAGACAAGAAATAGCTCTTGAGGCTGGGGTTGTAACTCAGTGGTTGAGCACTTGCCTCGCATGCGTGAGGCACCGGGTTCGATCCTTAGCACTACATAAAAATAAATAAATAAATAAATAAAATAAAAATATTATGTCCATCTACAACTAAAAATATATATACATACACACACACACACATATGAAGAAATAGCTCTTGTGTATGAAGTCAGGTGTTTTCTTTTTTTTTTTTTTTTAATTTTTTTTTTTTTTATATTTATTTTTTAGTTCTCGGCGGACACAACATCTTTGTTTGTATGTGGTGCTGAGGATCGAACCCAGGCCGCACGCATGCCAGGCGAGCGCGCTACCGCTTGAGCCATATCCCCAGCCCCAGGTGTTTTCTTTAAAAAAGTAAAACTACTATACTTTTATTTCATTTGACCAGGCCCCAAACTGGGAAGCCAGCCAGCCTACCTCTTTTAAGGAGCCGGGCTGATGCTGAGGAAGGGATGTCCACAGCCATAAAACACACAATTATCATCTTCCTTAAAAATCACCTGGAAAAAGACTGAAGAGGTCCCAAGTGCTGATATGATCAAGCCCCAAAGTTTCAGTTTCTCCCAAAGGAGAAAAAAAAGGGGGAGGATGGGCACAGGACCTTAACAATTTCTCCAATTTCTGGTTAATTATCTGTCAGCATGGAGCCTATAAATAATGGCTCAATAATTAACTATGATGAGATGAGCATGTTTGTGAGAATAGCAAAGGCATCCCTGAGTTGAGCCATGATCTGTACTGGGCCTGCCTTCTATTCACCAGCTTCAGTGGTTGCAGAGGACACTGAAAAATGACTTCTGGCCAAGAGGACCCTTCCAGAGCACCAAGTACAGAAAAGATATTTTTAAGTCAAGACCTGACCCAGGCTGGATTATAGATTCAGAAACTTTTCCATCAAGAATCTAGAAACCGTCTGGCATAACAAATTCCTCACTTGACAGATGGGGAAACTGAGGTCCCAAGAGGGGAGAGGGTCCTGCTGAAGGCCTCTGGTTTTTGTTATTTAAGGCAATTGGAACACTTCAAAGTATGCTTTCTGCCACTCAAAAACAAATACCAGTTACAGGAGTTCCTACTCACCCTAACATATAATAAAATTTTGACATTTCACACAACCTTTATCAGAAACATACAGAAACAAAATTATGTAATCTGAACTTTCTGTGCACATTTCCCCAAAATGTGCTTATTGAGTTTTAATTAGATGCTTCTTAAAGCAGGGATCCTTTCAAGACTGTCAAGTTAGTTCCAAACAACAAAAGAGAAACTGAGGAACTCCGGAGAAAGTTTCACCAAGTTCTCCAGAGTATCCCTACAAAGGAATCTCTCACACCCGCGGCCAGGCACTTTGGCAGATCCCGACTTACCCTTTCCAGCGAAGGCAGCCTTGGATGAGCTGTAGTCTCGGGGACTTCGGGGCCTGAGGAGGTCGTGGGTGCGCTGGGGTGGCATAGGCAGCCGAGGTAGCAAGTCCCGCGGGCCTCCATCAATGCAGCCACCGCCACTCACCGTGACCCTGAAGGCCATGTGCGCTCCAAGACCAGGGCCTGGGACACCGGGGGCCTCCTTGGGCCTCTTGTCTGAAAGTACCTCGGCCACCTCGCAATGCATGGCTCCTGGGCGAGGCGCACGAGTGGAGGTCCCCCAGGCTCCTGAAGTGGGGAGACGGTACAGGCGCATTAGAATGAGGGAAGCAGATTCTTTTCTTGCTGGGCCCAAGTTTGGCAGTTCACTGCCCCCACGGTTTAGGTCTCAGGTCTCAAATAGCTTTGCGCCACCACACCTACCTCAACCCTAACTCACCTGATGTCAAGCCTCTTAGTCCGCGCAGCAGTGGCTCTCAAGATCCCAAACTTGGGGAAGACCATAGTCACCCGCGCATTCCTGTGACGCCCCCTGGGCCCTCCCACCCAAATCCGCCTCCACCGCGACCAGCCCTCTTAGAACGAATGGTGAAACTGAGGCTTGAAGCGGAGGGCTCCTGTCCATAGTCCTCTAGCGGGACAGGGAGCCAGCGGAGACAGAAGTCACAGAGCAGGGATATCGTTCCGGGTGGGTCAATGGCTGCGCACCTCCAGGGCGCTGCGGCGCCGAATTCAGCGCAGAAGCGGCTGACCGCGCACTCAGGAATCCTGGGCGCTGATCCTCTGAGACTCACTGTTGATTCCCCCAAATCCAGAAAACGGTAGTCGGAAAATGGGAGCTCATCCGCGCTGCGCAAACCTATCACGCGCACCCCAGGACACGCACATTCCTGCGCGCATTAGGAAAACAAGCCCGACGCGCGCGCAAACCCTCACGGAGTCAGAAATGCCGGTGAACGCCGGCTCCCACGCACACCGCACACCCCAGTCAGTGCGCAGTCGGGGACGCGATGTGCCACACAAACTCTTTCACACGCTCAGATACAGCAACACTAACAGCCACACAGTCTCACGCTCTCGACACGCGCGCGCGCTGGAGCCCTCCTCGCCGGAGCTTCTGTCCTCCCATGATCCGTCCTGGAGTACGGGCCCGGACCCCCAAACTCTCCTTTCCCCTCGGCGCTCCTCGCGCCATCCTAAAGCTCCTGGACATGGGGCAAAGCTGGTACTCCCAGCCTCGGATCTCGGGCCCTGGCGCCCGCCCTTTCCGCAGGCCGCGGGCCGCGCCCCTTCTCACCTCGCAGCGGCCGCTGCAGCTCGCGGGGCGCACGGCTCGGCGCGCCTCCTCTGGCGCCGCAGCCCCCGCAGCCGCCACCGCCGCCGCCGCCGCCGCGTCCTGCGGGGCGGCACCCCGGGGGCGGGGCAGCACCCCGGAGGCGGGCCGGGCCGCTCCGACAGCTTCCCGACAGTCGCTCGGGCCACTGGCTCACCGCAGCCGCCCAGCCCAAGCCAATCGCAGTGCGCGGGCGGGACTCCTCGCCTGGGGGCCTGGGCGGGGCCCGGTGAGGGGCTGGGCGGAGGGTTTGACAGGCGGCGGCCGGTTGGAGCCCTGCTCGGCCTGCGGCTCTCTGGCCACAGACCCCGGTTGGACTGAGGAGTGGCGCAGCGGGAGGGAGAGTCTGGGCACTATACCGACAGCCAGCAAGCTGAGCGTCCACGGAGCCTGGATCACCCGGCTTCCTCCCCGCCTCTCCCAGTGGCCTCGGACAGGATCTATCACCTCTGCAGGTCGGGTTTTTCCCGGGTCTAAAGAGAACGCCATAGATGCGAACGCAGAGGTAACAGATATGAAAGTGCTTGACAGTTTTCTTGCAGAATCCAACCCGCTCTCGGAGATTTATAGCCAGTCACCAGCAAAGCTGGGACCCAACCCAGGCCTCACAGCCCACTTTATCACGTTTTGCTTTTGTGGCACGTGTTTTCCACTGGTCAAAGTCCCTTCAGGCAAGAGGGTCTCAAAGTGCCTCTGGGGCCTGTACCCAGTTCCTCCTGCCTTCTGGGCTTCTGCACATACAGCAGTGTCTCAGGGGGCCCTGCCCAACGTACAGGAAGAGCACTGGACAAAGAATAAGACATCCCAGCTGAAGGTAAAGCTCAGTGAGTAAAGCACTTGCCTTATATCGTGAGGCCTGGGTTCCATCCCCAGACCAAAAGAAAAGAACAAACAAACAAAACCCTTCACCGTGACTGGAAGCAGTGGCTCAGATCCCCTTCCTGAGCCTCAGTTTCCTCCTGTGTAAAATGGGATTGTTCATCAGGCCTGGCCTATCTGCAAGAGCTACTGAAGGATCCAGTGTGGCCCCTGAAATAGTCTCTGATGTCATCTACCCTCCCTCTTTGTCCAATTTGCTGGAGACCTGTCTGACTTGGCACTCTTTTTGGGTCTGGTCTCTTTGTCCTTGGTCTCAAATTGAAAAATGGATTTGAAGCTTCTTACTACTGCAAAAGTGAGATGTGCAGCATAGGCTTCTGCATAAAATGAGACACACCAAGCAGCATTCCCAGAATCTTGAAAACCAGGATGTTAGAACCAAAAATCATAAGATTTAATTTCCTGTAATTTATTAAACGTAGTGGCCTACAAAGAGGAATAATGGTAAGAACAACCTTGGAGTTTTAGTTACACTCACCCCTACATTTAAAGGAGGGATGATGTGTGCCTGGCTGGCAGCATCGTGGTAGGGTATGGCAGACTGAGCATCAAAATCCAGGCTTCCTGACTCCCAGTCCAGTGCTATACCACTCATGCTGCCTCTTATAGGAACAAGGGCTGCACGAGGCATCTCCAGGATCTTGCCTGTCTAAGGATTTGGAGCTGGGAATTGCTGCTACTTTTTATGGCAGGAGGAGAAAAGAGGTAGAAAGAAGCAAGAGTAGCTCACTAACCACTAACCAGTAGCACTCTCTAGCTCTTTCTTTCTCTCTTCTGAGGTACCAGTGCTGGCTCTACTGCCAACAGTTCATGTGGCTTTAGCCAAATCATAACTTCATACTAGTTCTTAGTTTCCCCTCAAAAAGTAAGAAGGTTGGAAGATCTTTCATCTTTTCAGTTCTGCCCTTCAGTGAGGCCAGGAGCTGAGTCCTCTGTCCTCCCACCCCCAACACACACACACACACACACACACACACACACACACACCACTGAACATTTAGTCTGGACTCTGGAAACATTTACTGAATGAGTCACTTAACCAACTGGACTTGCAGGCAGAGACTCTCCAAATTTCAAAATATATACAGTTACAATATAACTGAATGAACTGTTGCTACAGTTCATTCAGTTATATTGTACTGCACACCTACCCTGGGCCAGCCCACCACCTGCCTTTCCCTAAGCAAACTCACAGGTCCATCCTACCAGTACAGATGGCTTGTGAAGCCCAGCAAAGCAATGAGAAGGTTAATATGTTCAATACAATAAACCTCTTAAACACAGTATAAGGCAGGGTCCCTGTGGGGATATATGGGATTGAGCAGAAATTTGGTTTTCTTAAACACAGGAAATTGTTTACAATGATTAAGGATGGAGCAAGACCTGAACTTTTCCTTTTTTAAACTTTTTCTAAATTGCTTGTGTTTTCTAACAATACATACTATCCTCCTTCCCTTCCAGCAGGGGTTGTTTGAACAGTGGAATTATGGGCTACATTTTTTTCTTTGTATTTTTAGTATTAAAATTAAGTTCATTAACGTTTTAATTGTCAAGAACAAAACAAAGCAAAATGAAACCCACTTCTCACTTTAGACAAAAATGTGTGCTTTTCATACTCACCCATGTTCCAGCTCAAACTGTTTCATATTCTAGTCTCAAAGACAGTCTGTCTATTGGATAACGCCATCTGGATTCACCTGCCAAATTAAATACCATTTTTTCTTCTCTTACTTTGTCCTCACACCTGTGTTCCTTTCCGGGTGAATGGCCCCCTGATCAAGTCCCTCAAGTCAGTAATCTGAAAGTTATATCCTAGGCTCCTTCTCTCCCACACTCCCAAATCTGATTTGTCATAATCCACCTAACACTCCCCCTCCTCTCCATCCTCACATTTATTCTGATTCTTCTCACTGCCTCTCTCCCCCTCTTTCTACTATTAATTATCCATTTTACACTCTGGTCTCCCTATTGATCTCCAAAACATATATCTCACCATAGTACTTCCCTGTACTGTACCAATGGCTTCCAATAGCCATCTACGTTTTCTAACCCTACCCTCAACTCAATCTATATTCCAAGCACCCGGGAATAGTTTTCATCTCCTAGAAACCAGAACTTATATTCTTGTCTTCAAAACTGTGTATCTGAGGCCTCCTGTGCTAACACTTTCCCCTCTTATCCACCTTGCATATTCCTGCCCATAAGTCATTTAATACCCGGATCAAATGTCRCTTTTCCCCCAGAAGCCTTCTCTGAATCCTCTGGCTAAAATCATCTTCTCGCACACTCTCAGAACCCTCTTTGCTTGAGTCTATCTAGAACATATCACACTGTTTTCTAAGTGCCTATTTAACAATCTACCTCTAGACTGAGCTATGGGAGGGCAGGGAGTGGCCTTTTGCATGTGTATCTCCAAAACCTAGCAGATATTTTTGCACAAAGTCAGGATGAAGCAAATGTTTGCTGAATTATTGGATCAGTTACCAAAGAGTGATCACTACTTTCTTTGCTTGCCTGCATTTCTATGTAMGGGCTTCCTCTCGCCATCTTTGTCCAGGGGTGTTTTAGTCAGCTTTTGCAACCAAAATACTCAACAAAAACAACTTAGAAGAGGAAAAGTTTATTTTGGCTCACTGTTTCAGAGGTCTCAGTTCATAAACAGCCAGCTCCGTTGCTCTAGGCCCAAGGTGCGGCAGCACATCATGGGGGAAGGGCCCAGCAGAGGAAAGCAGCTCCCCTCATGGCAGTAAGGAGGGAAAGAGAAGGGGAGGGTGAGGAGAGAGAAAGAAAGAGAGGGGGCTGCAGGGCGGATGCACCCTTCTAGGGCATGCCCCTACAGGCCCATCTCCTCCACACACACACACACACACACACACACACACACCCTGCCTTCAGTAAGCACCTCAGCAGGTCTTGGTTACTTACCTGGAGGGTAACCTACACCTTGGTCCTACCTGGATTGGGTTATTATAGTTCCCAACTAACCTTAATAACAGGACATGGTCATACCAAGAGATGCCTAGGGGATCTCCWGCAGTCTAGGCATACTCTTCCTTCCCTCCATTGTGGAGAATAGTCCAATCTCCCATTGGTAATCTAGATCAATCACCCCCACAATACCATAACTCCCTTCTTATCCCAAAGCTGCCGGGGGGTAGTATTGACTTCCAGTTCAATATAAGTATACATTGGGCAAATAGCTGAGGTAAAAATAGATATTTCTGTCTCAGGTCTCCTGCACCCTGGAGACAGAAGAAAAAGGAATGGAGGCGATGGATGTCATACTGTTTATTCTGATACTCTTTCTTGTAGCAAGGCCCAACTTTACATTCATTGTGCCAGATACTATGATCCTCCCGTATGTGATCTCATTTAATCCAGACAAGACCACTGAGATAAAGAGGTGACTGTCCCAATTTTATAGGTAAGAAAGTAAAAGTACAAAATTAAGTGATTTGCCAAAGTTCTCACAGTTAAAAGTGCCTGGCTTCCATACATCTGTGGCCAACTGATTTTCAATAAGAATGCCAAAACCCCTCGCTGAGGAAAGAGCAGGCTTTTCAACAAATGACAGTGGGAAAACTAGATATCCACAGGGAAAACAATGAAGTTAGACTCCCCTGTCTCATACCATATACAAAGAATAATTCAGAATGGACTGATGATCTAAATATAAGAGTAAAAACAATAAAACACTTAGAAGAAAACTTAGGGGYAAATCTTCTTGAGTTCAGATCTGGCAATGAATTCTTTCTTTGATGGCACCAAAAACATGAGCAACAGAAGAAAAAAATAGATAAATTGGATTTCAACAAATATGAAAACTGCATCAAAGACATTATCAAAGCAGTGAAAAGACAACCTAGCTGGGTGTCGTTGTGCACACCTATAGTCCCAGCTACTCAGGAGGCTGAGGCAGAAGAATTGCTTAAGCCCAGGGATTCAAGACCAGCCTGGGCAACATAGCAAGGACTCACCTTAAACACACACACACACACACACACACACACACACAAAATGAGAGAAAATATTTACAAATCACACATCTGATAAGGGTCTAGTATCTAGAATATATAGAAAATCTTGGATGGGTGCTGTAACACATTCATTTGGAAATTCCATAGAATGGCTTCTTTCATGGTTATGGCCCTGGTGCTG